TGAAACTGGGGGCAGCAGGACAATCACTTTCACCTCTTATTATTTATTGTGAAAAAGTACAGTACCTTAGCTGGTATTCTAATCTCAGTGAGAAGGAATGTAACTATAAGTTTAGTTATTCTCCTAAAGGGTGGATTGATGACTGGCTTGCACTTCTCTGGCTGGAGACAATATTTGAGCCTGAGATAGCTACAGTAGCAGGAGAGCCTAGGCTTCTGATTATCGACAGGCATGGTTCACATATCACATACAGTTTTGTCAAATTTTGTGTGGAGCACAACATCCTTCTCCTTTGCCTTCCATTTTACTCCATCCACTTTCTACAGCTCTTAGATGTTGGTCTCTTCTCTCCCTATTAGTATTTCTATAGGTTGGCTGTTGATAACCATATGTGTTCAAGAAGGAAAACAGGAGATAGAATTAAAAAGGCTATCTTTAACTGTTTTATTACCAAGGTAAGAGAGAAAACATTTACCTTGCAGAATATTTCTCATATCTTTGAGGCTTGTTGTATATGGCCTCTTTGTGCTTGAAGAGTATTGGGGAGAATGGTACCTGAGGCTGTTTCATGACGTGATACTATGGAACTCACCACTTCCCAGAAAAGCAAAGATATTCGGTGCAGAATAATGGCTGCCGAGAAGCTGTTAGATGAGGGTCTAGCTTCCTTATCGCTTACAGAGTATTCGCTACCACCTCCAGCTCCCTTCACGGCAGCAGGCACATCAGAATGGCTTACTTTATAAGTTAAAGTTATCCTCCAAGAATTAGGCCACCAACTAGAGTCAGAGGTAGCTCAGTGAGAGCTCTATCAGGAACAGTCCTATCGCCTACAACAGGCTGTTCCTCTTAAGAACAAAACTGACGGTCGCAAACCGTCTGAAGCATGGATTCTTTCTGGAGCCCAACTCATTCAACTCCGTGATGCTAGACTCTAAAAAGATGCAACCAAGGGTCAGAAACTACCTAAAAGACTTCTGAAAACCAAGCGAGTCTCTTTACAAGCCCAGGTTACCCCAATCCTTACATCTGTTGGATTTCCAGAAAGCCTTGCCTCACTGGTATCGGATAATAGTAAGATAGAAATACTAAGCGATGAAGAGCGGAATTTGGCCTCTGAGATGCAATGTGTTTTCTGCTGTACTATATGCACAAAACCTATCGCACCCTCCTCATCAGCACCATAGTACCCTATTCCTCTCCTCCATATTTCTCTTCGATCATGGAATGCCTGATCTTGTGCTTTTCTTTCTCGCTTTCTGCTAGGACATTCCTGTATCCTATTCCCCTACTGGCAACTTTTGATTTTCCTCATACTAACCTCCATGGCCTTTCTAGTTTCCTCCCACATAGCCTCCAATCATCTCTCCTTTCTTACCAACCTTTTCATTATTTTCTTTCAATTTTCCGGTTTTTCTCATATTACATATATCTAAAATACGCACGGGGAGTTGTCTCAAATATTGCGCAATCGCCAGATCCCGCATCTCAGCGATGTCTTGGTTCCTGATAGTTGACGTTACTGCATGGGTAACTAGAACTTACCGTGCAGCAATAGCGGAAAGATCTGTAGGAGACATCATGAAGGCTAGTATTGTTGCTAGTTTTGTAGTCTTCTGGCAGGTTGTCTAGGATATCATGAAGAATATTCTTAAATGGTTCGCTAATTTGACATGTCGAGTGGCTGTACCAAGCCAGTGCACCTAGCAGGAATTATAGAAGGTAGGATATTATATAAATGTAATGTATTGAGTACACTATCAGTAGAGTAGAACTTTACTACATCTAGGACAAGAAGTCACGGTCCTGGTAGAAGAGCAGGTACTAGCATGTTGTTGATCCAGTGAACAAAAAGTTCCCAATTGGCATAGGCAGTTTCATTACACTGCACTTCCACTCCTGGATAATACTTTGAGGCTTCCTTCTCTCACTTTCGTTGATAAAACTTCTCTCTTTTACTGTCACGAACGTGGCTTAGCAAGGAAAAGGTTTTCGCGTGACACATGGTTATGAGTTACAGGTATGTTATTGTTTCACACATGACTCATTCGAGTCATATGATTTGTTATGTGTGGGATTTGTGATGCTTTCGCACATGGCTCAAGTATGAGTCATGGGATGTGCGCCTGATGAGTATGCCTTGCGAGTGTACCTTGTGGGTATGCTTTATGCACATGATTTATGTTTTACACATGACCTCGTTATGAGGTCATGGGTTTCACACATATGACTGGTTTATTACATTATGATTAGTTTATGAGTTTTTGCACAGGACCTCGCTATGAGGTCATGGGTTTTGAGCATGTGACCACTTTGGTCGCATGACTAGTTTGTTATGATTTGGTTTTACACATGTGACCACTTTGGGTCACATGACTATGGGCAGGAAGAACACTATATAAGGAGGCCGAGGCGGCCAAGGAGGATAGGTTCTTCATGCTTTGTTCTAAGTACTTTTCCTACTTATTACTTTAACGAATATAAAACACCTTTACGATCTTTATCTTTATTGTAACGTTATCATTACACCAAGGAAAGCTCTTCACGAAGAAGAGTTAGAGAAAGCTTACGATAGGCGTTCCCAATAGAAGACAGAGGTCTTGTACTATCAGTAATATAGGCAGAGGCCTACTGTTATCGTAAGACTAAGGAAAGAAACAGAAGGAAGTGAAGAGAAGTATCGTTCCCCGTCGCCAAGAACTAACCATCCAAGGAGGGGATCGTTCCATTTACCTTGATATATTTTTTTTTCTTAAAAAACCAATGTAGGGCTGTACTCACATTTTCCCACTTCCAAAGGCAGCTAAAATTATTGTTACCTGACCTTTATTCCAACTACTATTGGAAGCCTTCACTTGAACTGATTTACTGCCCTTATTTGCATAAGTTTGACCATCTTAGAACTTAAAGAGCAATGGAGTTTTGTCGATATTGTAAATGCTATTCAAAAGATACCTGCAAACAACTAAGGGCTCATTAGAGGACTGTGGCCGAATCTGGGAACTTCTTCTATTAAATTGGAGGCAGGAGAGAATCAGAGAGAGATAATCATTGGGCACCTTCTGTGCAATATTTGTTGTAAATTGGAGGGTTATGGAATTTTGAGCAAGAAAGCCATTAAACTACCTGTTTAAGAAGGAAAATTAGCCAATGTCTCCAAGGGGATAGTATTCCTGAAAAGACTTACAAGCTTGACGCTGGAGTCAGGTATGCCAGACAGCCTTTCTTTCTTTTCTTTGTTTATAGTATTTTTCATAGAGGCTTTCCTCTAACTCTGGCCACCTGTACCATGTATCAGCCTTCCCTCTAGCCTGACCTCCCTTCTTACCTCTAGCAATACTATTCTCATTTCTCCTCCAATTGTGCAGAGTTGTAATTGGTACAAGATATCGTTCTGAAACCTCTTACATCACCGGAGCTCGTGGTTGGCCTGGATTAGGCTTCTTTGCTGACTGTTCAACTTTCGCACAAGTCCACCATTCCAATACTTGGAGTTTAAATTCTCTAGTATAGGACTGCTCAATCTGTTTTCGTGGTTTGTGGAATGGCTTTGATACCGGCCCAGATACTGACTCTAGCTCAGGACTTGGTTGGTCTGACACAATCATGCTTTCTGGACATGAAGGTTTATCGTATTGTTTATGTGGTAGTTGAGATCTTGGAATCTGAACTGAATTTCTGCCAGATGACTCCTCAAATTGACTTTTCAAAAGCTCTGAAATCTGCATACTTGGCCTCTTCATCGCTGGAAAGATATTCTTCTTTGAACTTTCTCAAACCAAGTGGTCTTTTAAGTTTTCCTTTAGCCCATGGGCAGACCTAATCAACTACTTAGTTTTACACATTATTGACTCCTTTTTTTGTCTTTGTTATCTCAACTCTGAACATTTTCAGCTCATATTTGTATGAGTTGCTGGTCATTCACGATAGCTGAGGTTGGAACAACCGGCAACTTTGCTTAGAAATCACTGTCTTATTCACGCCACCTGAGTGGCCACTCGCCTAACGTTCTCCTCCCGTTCTAGCGCCTTTTCCAATTTACCCAGGTAATGCGGTACTCTACCGGTATTGTGGATGTTTGGCGTGCGTGTGGTTGGCAACTTGGCGCTCATGGTAATGATATAATACCTGTTCTTGGAATCATTGAAAGGGGGGAACAAAATGGAGCGTTGGGATGGACCAAAGTGTGGATTCGAGCTCTTGCACTACCGCTATTCGCCAGAGAGACAGAACGCGGATATTATCGTCACGGCTGGCATAATATACCTGGTAATCGTGCCTCAACAGTTATACCAGTCTTCCCATCATCGCCATATATGATATCCTCCGGACAATCTAAGCGATAGCGCGAGAAAACGCGAGAATGAATCCTTCGCAATGCTCCGGAAATATCCCTCCCTTGTGTGCGCTAGTATCGTGGGCTATGGACTATTATTATACTACCATGCCCCTCCAGCTTCGCGGGAAAAAGTCGGTTATTCTTCCACCAGGAGGCGCCTACAACCTTAGAACCCTCCCCGACCCCCAGGTGTGACACGACAAGCGACATTTTCCAACCAACTGAACCCTAGATTTGACTAATTGTTCGATAAATGAGGAGATCAGAGCTAAGGTATGGGAAAGGAGGAAAATATAAGGGGAGAAAGTTTGCATTGAACTGACTTGTGATGGTACGAATACGTACTTGTACGCTGCGGATATCTCCAACAGTGAACGTAGGTGAGGTAAGTAATTGAGTGCGAGAGAAGTTTGCTGGGTCGGGAAAATCCCCCTTCTGGGATAGAGGTTATAGTACAACATCCGTCTTCGCACATTTCTCTGGTATTCGAGTACCGGTATTTACGGTACATACCGTTCTGTCCGGGAACGATCGAGTCTATCTAATTCGACATCACCTAGCAAGTTACGGATATTTGGATGGGCACCTAGGAGGGCGTTGAGCTGCCAGGGACTATGGTATAGTTTGAATGCGGGAAAATACAAGAATGCGGGGAGAATGGACATGCTTCATAAACGTAAACAATCATAATCTAAGCAGGTGCAGGGGTAGTAGTAGCTCCCAGTTCCTCCAACGCCACATTAGGATGCAATACAAATACCGTTTTCCCGCCCTCCGCACTGCTTCCTTCCGCTGCCTCACCGACCAGTCCCTCTCCGCGGATTTGCATCAAGATGTTGTCCTATATAAATATTAACTTTGGCTTCATGTGAGGGGTCTATAAAATGTAGAGTAACAAACCCTGACCATGCGCCTAAGAACCTTGCCGATCAGCATCTTCTCCTCCTCGAGCTCCTCCTCAGTGTTGATCTCCTCTTCCCTCATCTCGAGATACCACGTCTTAAGTTCCTCTTCCTCAACACCCTGTCCAGTGCTCTCCTCATCGTCATTGATGCGACGTACAATGAGGTTGAGAATCTGCATGTATCGGTCATATGTAATCTTTGTCTTCTCCCGAGGCGGCTGGCTACTAGACATGCCCGGGGTGGAGACCGCGGCGGTGGGTTCGCGGCTTTCCTGATCTATATCTTCCTGCATCTCCTCATCCGCTTCATCATCATCATCGATTTCGACGTCTTCCTTCTCCACGTGAATGATCGACTGCCGAAGCAGACCAAAAGCCTCGTTTACAAAACCTTCTGTGACATCTTCTACACAGTTGGCCTTGGCGATGGCCTCAGAAAGACGGATAAGAGATTCGAGCTGACGGACAGTAATTCGGTAACTATTTCTTCCAACGCCGCCTTGAGCATCGTCCGCACGCAGTTCTTTATATTTCTGAACAAGAAGAGTGCGGGCTTCCTCTGTGAATACAGGGCGGAAAGTTCGGGCGAATTTGATATATCGCTGCAGCTGCTCAGTGGTAAATTCTGGGGTGATGGCCGCATCTCTATTGCGGTGGAGCCCTACGATGTGTCGAGCTAGGTGGGTATCGATCGCTTCGTTGCATTCGTCAAGGACGACAAAGAAGAGATCGAAACGGGACATGATTGGCGCAGACATATTAATATTAGACCGGAGGGTAGCCTTCCGGTTGTACCGACCTCCTACAGGATTCGCTGCTGCAAGGATGGATGTCCGAGCATTGAGAGTGGCTTGAATACCAGCTTTTGCTATAGAAATCGTCTGCTGTTCCATGGCTTCGTGAATTGCCACCTGGTCCGCAATATCCATTTTGTCGAATTCATCGATAGCACAAATACCATTATCCGCCAACATCAGGGCACCGGCTTCGATGGTAAATTCACCAGTCTCTTCGTCCTTGACAACTGCTGCTGTGAGACCGGCTGCCGAAGAAGCTTTCCCGGAGGTGTATACGGCACGTGGGAGAAAGGAGCAAACGTATTTCAGGAACTGAGATTTGCTGGTGCTGGGATCGCCCACAATACAAATGTTAACATCTCCACGAAGACTCATACCTTCTGGAGTCACCTTATGAACACCCCCCATAAGCTGAAGGAGAATCCCTTTTTTGATAATCTCATGGCCATAAACGGTGGGGGCTATTGAATTGACCAGACGTGAGTAGATATGGTCACTGTGGACCATGCTCTTGAGTTCCGCGATTTCAGCTTGTGTTAACGAGTTTAGGAAGTCCTCTTGTTCTCGCTCATCGTCGCCAATTTCTGCCTGAGTGCCTCTCAGAAGGCCCTGAACCTCTTCTTCCTCTGCACTCTTTCGCAACCCCGCACCGGGAACCCCACTTGTATCGCTCGTAACCATGCAGGCGAGAAAAGCCAGTCGATAAGTTAGATCTCTTACACCTAGACTCTTTAATCCCGTGACACCTGTGCTTTCTGCACCGCCTCGCGGAGCATTCTTCATGTCCTTCATACTCTGTGCCTTCAACCCCGGCAATCCCAACATGCTGACGTCAGGGACCACAATCAATGTCCCGGTAAAGATACATTTCTCTCCGGCTTTCGCTCTCTCTACGATTTCGCCTCTTAATATGATGTCAAGAGTTCTCGGCATGCTCCCCGTAGGGATTTCGCCGGAATTTTCTTGCACACGGACCTTTTGCCAGTCAACAAAAGATGACTGCTTGATTTCCAATCTCCAGCTGACACGATTACCGCAGGTAAGATTAGGGCATTGTGTAGGTTCCGTATACCGGAATGTTTGCTCAATGCCGGGGATTTCAGTACGGCAAGCTTCGCAAGTGAATGTAGCTAGTAGCAATTCAGGACGAACTTCGGAGGTACGGGTCACAGTCGCGGATATAGAGGTTAGAGTGCCGATTTGAAGGGTGCGCAGAGAGCGGATGCGAGTAGTAAGTGGAAGGTTGAAGATTCCCAGAGAGAATATTTTGTCGGTTGTGTGGTTAACCTACATATTCAAACTTAGAGGGGGCTCTTTATTGATCAAACAGAATAGCAAAAGATGGAACGGTGGGATGGTGTAAAGCGAGACACTATTTTGGTGACAGGTAATCGATATGAACGTACGTTCTCAGACTGACCACCTTTCCCGGTCTTCCCCCAATACTCAGGCTCATATCGTCTAATACAAGTCTCTAAGCCTCTCTTTAAAAACGGTAAGAAACGATAATGCCTCTCTGTTATTGCCTCGACAAACCCTTTCACATGTGTGTTGCTCCAGTACGTTAAATGTGCATAATCAACGAATAGCGTACTCGACTCAGTAACTGCCATGCTATGAATGGCAGCAATGTAGTATTTGTCGGTAGTAGGTGGAGCGGCCGCCGCAGCCGACGACGGAGGCGGTGGCGGGTTATCTGGATCTTCGACAAAACTGTGCCAATGTGAGCTAATATAAATGAAGTATAGGGGTAGGAAGCCCGGAATCACTTCTCTAGAAAACCAATAAAAGCGTTCATGATTTGGTCACCAGCTTCATCGGTAACCTTTGGAACCTGGCTCAAATCGGTTCTCGGTCGATTAGTTCTATTTACAGCCCCCCTTGCTCCAACAACCTCATCATCTGGGTCTACATCCATTTGACCATCGTCGCTGGTGCCATCTGGTGGCCCAGGGGCACTGGATGAGAACCTAACTGAGGAAGGTGCAGGGTTACCACGGGGACGAGGGCGAGGAGCAGGTTCTGGTAGATCTGAGGATAGAACTGCATCTACTAACGATGACATGGTGAATTGAGGGAGAGAATAGCTGCGGGTCTGGTATCTGGAGGATGGATGGACCTGGTTTTTGTTTGTGTTTGGAGGGGGTGATTGAGTATAATTGTGAATTGAGGGGGGAACAAAAAGGTAGGAGAGACGCGTAGAACGAAAACGCGAAGGAGAAACTCTACAACCAATAAGGGGTCCAACCACTTACTACCACTTCAGGACTAACTACTCCAAGTTTGTGTATTTCCCACCTTATCTAATCAATCGATTGGCGAAACAACGAACCTCTTTGATGGTTGGAGGCTTGGGGCTCCCCGGAAAACCTCGTCGATGCACTACCTTCGAACCTCCGAGTATCATATTCAATATTCCGACACCCTCAACCGAAAAATGGGCTGATTTTTACGGATAACAAAACCTGCCGCCACCTCCAATCTTCTCTTTCCTGAAATTTCAACAATCTTCCCGTTTCTCACTCGCAAGATGTCTACTACAACTAACCTACACCCCCCCTCCTCCCATGCTCTTCCGCAGACCCCTCTCACTCCGACAACAAGACATATGGTCCTTTGGATCCACGATCCGGATGGCTCACCTACTCTTTCTAAACGTGAGGCAGTCTTAAATTATGATCTCTTTCCTCCTCATGTTGCGAGACCTGGAGACATAGCCGAAGTAAAATTGATGTCTTCGTCGTCCACCGGAAACGTATCTGATGACAGTATAGCAGTGGGTGGAGGAGCTATGGAGAGGAAGAAGAGCTATACCAATTCAATGATGGAAGAGGAGGGTACTGGGGTTGGTGGAAGGGCAGGGGGAGTTGGAGGGAGTACCAAGGTGGAGAAGAAATTTTTGTTTGTGATACGGGAATTGGAGCCCGAGCAACGCGCGAAACCGAACCTACAGGTAGGGCACTGAATGTCAATTTTGTGGGTTTAACTGATTGGGTTTAGATCTCGCTGGCTCGGCATGTCGCTGATTTATTCGGGTTTCACTCAAGGGCTACTGTTACTGTCACGATTGTATGTTCTACAAGCCCGAGCCCCGTATGTGCTACTAAAAACGGCCTTAGATCGATAAAAATCTTCATGAAGCTTCGCATGTTGAAATTTACTTCCGAGACCAATATATCTCCCGCAGTGATATGTGGCGCATGGCTACCACATTATTGACAGACACCTGCCCCTACAATTCACAAAAGCTCCTCTTCATCTCCTCAATTCGGGGAAGTGTTGGGAACATCTGGGTACGTGGGCGGAAGGTCCAATCCGCATACTTTTCACCACGAACTGTTCCAATATTTCGCTCAGAGTCGGCCCGCTACGTCCTTTTCATTCAGATGAGCCGGGAGATGTGGCACTTTGACACCGACGATGGTGGAGATGGCGATCAGGGCGAAGGGGGTGGAGGAGGGGTGGGTGGCGAAATAGTCTTCAACAAGCTTATCAACGGATTCTTGCCTGAGCTATTCAAACGGTGGAAAAGAATTAATGCGCACCATCTGGTATCTATAGTTTTGTTCACAAGAGTAGTTTATGAACATGGAGAACCAGTGGGAATCCTGAATAGGGATGGGAAAGAAAGCGAAGAATTTCTAGGAACTCCTGGGGGGATAAGCATCGGCGAGGGGAGACGCTATAGAGATTTCTATCGCGTTGTGGTCTCCTCCATGGCGAGCTCCGATTGGACCATTATCCTTCACCGACTGAAGAAAGAATTCTCAGTCTTCCTCCGGGATATCCTCGTTCTTCCAATAACAGACGATGAATTTCCACTTGAATCTAATCAAACGACACCTATTTCAAGTGCCCCAGATTCTATGGCCTCTCGGCCAAGTACACCATCTATTCCTACCTTTGTCGACATGCTCCGACCTGCATCATCTTCTACAAGCTCTCAACCCTCGCCTCGGATCCCCCCACACAAATCTGTTCCTAGTACGCAACGCAAGAAACAGCCGAGAATGATCATCACTGGGCGACCTTCTGCCGCTATCCACGGAAACATATTGGAAGCAATAAACCTAGCGACACTCCAATTCAGCAAAGACTATGTTGACCGTGATCTTGTCCGCACTGGAGTTAGCGTTGTAATAATAACTCCTGGAACTGGCCATTTCGAAGTTGATTATGATATGCTGAAAGCTACAACAGAAGGACTGATCATGACTGGCATGGGCGTGGACCTAGTCTGCCTGAGCAAAGTGCCCCTTCATACCGTCCCTCTTTTCAAGTACCGCAGTCCCATCCCTATCAGCATTCTCGCGAAGCAGGAGCAAGGCTCCCCTAACGGCTTCCCCCGAGGTCTCAGCCCACCGAAAGTCACTGTCACGTCGTCGGGTGCTACGGCGCCCGACCGTAGCCAAGGTGAATGGGTGTACGCTGTTCCCCATTGGATAGATATTTCCTTCTGGAGTGCTGCCTCGGAGAAGAAAATCAACAAACGTGGTCGCGTTGAAAAGAAGAAAGAGAGGAAAAAATCGACTGGTGGGTTTCGTGCAAGAGCGAAAATGTATGAGTTACAAATGATGGGTATAATGGAGAACGAAATTTCGGAAATATCGATCCCGTTTCTGCATGATAACCCGTTTTGGAAACCATTGCCCACGGAGGAGGAGCAGGCACAGACAGATGGTAGCAACGCAAAAGCAAGTGCCAAACCGGGGACTGCTACCAGCACAGCAGCCCCAGCGAAGTTCTTGAAGGAAGCTTTTAAATGGATGGATGAGTATGACGATGCAGCGTTCCGTCCGTTGCCCGTCTTGAAAGCGCGAGAAAGGGCGGCATTAGAGCACCGGATCGACGGCGAGGACGCAGAGAAGATTGAAAAGACTCTAGAAGAGGTTGACCCCTTGGTGCTTGGCACAAGTTTTCATGGAGAAGCACCGGGTCGCCAAGTCAGTTTACCTGGAGGGGCATTTTTTGACAGGAAAATGAAGGAACGGAGACCAGAGCTTGAAAGTCCAATTGAATCGCGGGAGGAAATTCCTAATATTCCTAATACCAGCGTCACTAGCGCACCATCCGCTGCCCCACCCTCATCTGGGCTTCTAAGGCCCAGCAGGCTAGGTTTGGTCCGAAATATCAGTTTTGGTTTCAAGTCTTGGGGCGCTGCCAAAGCTACCGCAAAGACAGGAATAGTTAGCACGAAAGCCACAGCAATCGCTGCCGGTTCTCCAGGTGCCGGTAGCAGCGGGGTTATGGTTACTAGGGGGTTTGATACTAGTGAAGCTGCAACACCCAGAAGCCCTCTATCACCTAGAACCACCCACCTAGAGGAAAGCCCGACCAGAACTGGAAGTCTAAGGAGCCCTGAAAAATTAGGATGGGGAAGCAGACCTATTTCGATCAAAAATAATGCAATAACCTCGTTGGAAGCAGCTGGACGGGACCGAGATCGTCGTCGGAGTATTGTAGGCAGTCCTCTAGATCGTGCGAGCATGCTCAGGGAACGGGAACGGGAATCCGTCGATATTTTAAAAGCGGCTAGTTTAACAAGGCACGGGCGACCTAGTATTGATCTTGTTGCGAACGCAGAGAAAACCGCAACAATTCCACCTACCGTTAGCCCGACGAGTGCACTTTCACCATGGGTACAAGTGCTTAATCCTAGTCACCCGAAGACAAACATTCCAAGCGCTGTAAACCAATTCCGGCGTTGGCATCACGTATTTCCTAAACCGATCAAGATCTCCACCGTTAAATGGAAAAGCCTTTGTTCCCCAGCTGCTCTACCATTGACGACCGAGCACTTTCCGTCGGCAGAACAGCTCCGTGACGAGTACCAAGAAAATCCATATGTGATCTCCCAAAATGCAGATTATGATGAGATAGAGGAGAGTAGCAGCAGCAACCGCGAGGAGCTCGTTCGCGCAATGATTTCACAGCGCCTGGCACAAGGTTTCCAAATCGTTGTTGGTAGCTCAGTGTCAGAGGCTACCGCTGGGCGAGGCGGTGATGCAGACATATATTCAAAGACCTATATGGTTAAAGCGGGTAGCTCTTGCTTCATGAGCCTCGGCTCGCAGATCCATCAACTTATCTGTGATGAGGAATACAACGTTGAGGTGAAGCGATATGTGCGCAAACCGACAACCGCGATAGGCTTATCCAAATTCACAATTGCTGATGAGTATATCAGCTATATGAAGACAGTAATGAGTGAGGAGTATATCCCTGTCAAAACCGCATTTAGGTTCCCGATTGCAGAGTATAACTGGAACTACGTGGATCAATATATTGGCGGATATGAGGACACATTAACAGAGCAGCTTCGATACTGGCGCGCGCGATTCGTGTTAATACCCAATGACCCACCGGAATCAGCTAGGAGAGGAGGGCTTCTAGGTCATTCGAATGGCGGAGAGTTGAATGACGAGGAGATCAGATTGGAGGGCATCAGAAGACTCACACAGGTATTCCAAAGGAATAGGTATATCCCACCCGAGGAAAGGCAATACGAGAGATATGGAAGGCGAAGAGCAAAAGAGAAAAACCCTCTCCAGATTCTATATAAAACTGTGGACCCAAGTGTTGTAGTAGCGCAAGAGTTAGAAAGTCTTCCGCTCATTGAAGACCCCACCAACAATATGCGCCGGAGCCAGCTTCTCACAACGGAGATGTTTGAGAAGAAAAATCTTGACCTAAAAGCCATCGCGCAAGAGCTCCAAGGTCCTAAGGGTGTTCGCCTACAAGACCGTCGCTGGCATCTCAGATTCCACTCAAATTGTTTCATTGGAGAAGATATGGTAACATGGATCGTGGAAAACTTTAAAGACGTCGAAACAAGGCAGGAAGCGGAGGAAATCGGGTTAAAACTCTTCAAAGCGGGGTTATTCCAGCACGTGGACAAGCGCCACCAATTCCGAGACGGAAATTACTTCTACCGGATCGCAGAAGCTTACGCCAACACCCCGAGACCTACTTCCAAGGGAGGTTGGTTCGGTGGGTTCAAAAGTGACAAATCTGTACCATCTACGCCCGCATTCGATATAGCTCCAAGCCCACTGCGGAGCAGGAGTAGCACAATCGTAACAGATGAGTGCTCGGAAACGTCTTCCATGTCGGGATACCGAACGCCAACTCCCACACCCCCTACCAAGAAGAAGGTTGAAGTGGAACTTAGCAAAGTGATGAAATATGACATTGACCCATCGCGGAAGAGTTACCGGAAGGAACTTATAAACCTTCATTACGACCGCCTACATAACCCTGACAACTGCTATCACATTCGCATTGACTGGATGAACACAACGGCAAAGCTGATTGAAGACCAACTTGCTTCTTGGGCGCGCACTGTTGATCGTTACGGGCTCAAGCTGGTAGAAGCACCTATGGACGAAGTCTCCACAATCCCCCGCACAAGCCCCTTCCGCAGCCCATATATTTTCAAGTTCTGCCTCCCTCCTCCACCTCCTCCAATGCTATCAACAATCTCACCCACCACTGAATCCATGGACCTCTCCACAATCCTATGTCCAACCCAGCCAGTCCCACCACCCCACCATACCCACAACCAAAACGATCATCACTTCTACCACCGCCTTGCCCTTCGAAAGCTCGGCTTCGTCCTAGACACAGAAGCAGCAAAGAATTTTCCCCCAACAGTATCCGTCAAGTACTCCTGGGGGACGCCAAACTACCGCCACAGTCAGTATATCCACCGCTCAGGCGTGATGTTCTGCCAAATCACAGACGATGGCTCATTCCTGCTAATGGCAAACCGGCAATACACAATTCGCGCAACAACAATCTATCCACCGCCAGCAGTAGCGCTCGGTTCCGGCGCAGACGTCGCTCTGGAGACAGTAAAGGATGAGATTGAGAGCTTTTGTAAAGACCCAGAGGCATTGCGAAGGTTCTACGATGAAGCCAACGGACGGGTTGGCGGGGGGACAGCCATGGGAGGAAGTAGTATGGGGACCTTGGGCAGTCCGGTTATTGGGCCGGTGGGAGCGGGGAGTCCGACCATGGGGACCAGCGTTGTGCATGCTCATGGGGTTGGGAGGACGACTAGCATGAAGAGTGGGAGGAGTAGCATTGTAGATCCTGTGCCGGATTTTGTATTAGGGAGGGGAGGGTATGAGCCCGGGCCTGGGAGATGATACTTATGGGGATAGTGTCGTATATTTCGGTTAATGTAATTTGAGCAGAAGCGAATAATCGGTTAAGCCCTTCCCATAATATTATTCAGGCGATTGGTTTCCCTGTCATTTTGCCAAGACTCGAGTGATGTCTTGTGCTTAGTGATCTTGACAATACCACACTGTCTCGCAGATGTCGAATTGGGTTGGGCTAGTTTCCCGCTCTTTGAGTGGCCCTGAAGCACAAACCGAGACAAAGGCGTGACTGCTAATTAAAAGAAGTTTTTCCGCAAACCAGACCAGCACCCCTGGGACCGACCCCATTTCGTTACCTATATCAGACTCCGGTAGTAAGTAAATTTATTTGAAAACACGTCCAGTGCCACGTAACCACCTCACCGGCAAGGGGCAATCCGATTTTCAGATAATCTATGGCAGAAACAAGTATGATACTATCAAAATAATATGGGGTCGTATTACTATAAACTCCTGCGCACAATGAACACCGCCAAGCTTAATCACCCCCACAATCTGCGTAACATAAGTGATCTACCTCGTGTCTTTGCAACAACCACACCAAAAGGTCTCAACGAGCCTTCGCAAATTCGCATCAAATACCGTATTAATCAGCCTGGGGGATGTTCATTACTTAGCAAATTTTACGGGTATCACATCATGGAGGGCATATAACTGTGCCCGGGTGCTCTCCGGGACATTGTGAGGAGAATATTACAGTATGTCTAAAAGGCACTGTTGCCGGAACTAGATGGAAATTCAGGGGGAATAGTGGCGGGAACATTTCCCCCTCAGCAGATGGACGCTGTCGTCAGGTGTTATCACATCACCACTCTCATCCCAAGTGGTGTGCTCCCCACCCAACTTGATCCCCGGCGAGGTATACCCCAACAACCCATCCCCCACTCCTCGCCCAGCCTCAACCCCGAAGATGACCTCCTAGTGGAAGGATATCCGGCCGATATGTGGTGCGCCGCCGCTGGGGTATGCCCCATCGCTCAGCGTGGTGCTGTCGATGTGTGCGATGATACGGATGGAGGTTGCACGGCAGCTGCAGTAGTAGTCCAGGAACTTTTACCACGAACTTCGTGATGCAAGAGAAGTGGATGAGGATGAAGCCGTGGAGGTAGCTTTCATCGAGGGTCCCCCGAAGAAACCGCACACACCGGTTGAATTGCAGCCCCCAGCCGTCGAGCATCACGGACGGGAGGGTGGTGCAGGTCTGCGTTCCGAAGACTTGGGTGTCCAGAAGGAGGTCAACGCATGGTTCACTTCCGCGAATGTCTGGTCTACTCTCTGCTAGTAGGGTTCAATCTCCTGTAGTGCAAGAAAACACGTCGGTGTCACTCTATTGAATGGATTAGACATACCGTTTCCGGTCATCGCACTCACTGTCGCCGCGGCGATAACTCCACTGGTCCTAGCAGCCCTCTAAGCGCAGGGGAACATATAACTGCCCAGCAGCAAATATCTCCCCCTGTCCCTTCCCCGGTTGATGCGGGTGCGGGTGCGGTTCCGGTCTCTATTGCCGCTGCTGTTATCAGCGGCACAAGATTGCGAGTGAGGGGCTGTGAGTGAGCCTAAAGGTATGAGTGGGGTGATGAGAATGGGGTTAAGAAGCGAATAGTGGGAGGTATTTATCTTCCGCTCCTTCATTATCTATTTTACTTTGCTATATTCCTCTATATCTTCCTTCTCTATTGTTCCGTTCTATCCTGTATGGATTGGCCTGGGAAAGTCCATCACGGGATGAGCCCCCACCACTATCGCTCACTGCATAATAACAGTGCATGTGCGGTACTTGCACAGTACTAGTACCGTACTCGTACAACCCCAGCAAACCAACCCACCCTCTGGACCCCTGATTCCCCACCACAATCCCAACTCCTGCACCCCCACCTTTATCTCCAAGTCCATTCCATCTCGCCCCAGCCAATAACCACCAATCAACTCCCAATCCCAGTACCAAACCCCAAACCGGTTAATTACGTACAGTGCCAAGACAGTTAATGGGGGGGGTGTTCGGTTCAACCTGATTTGGTTTTCAAAATCAAGATTTGATCTCGAAATCACATGTTAAACCCTAAAATCACACAAGGCTGAAATCACGCGCCCCGATCTTCACTCCAACTATGAGTAATGATACTCGAGTGTTTTCTACTTCTGCTAGATATTGCAAAGATATGACAAAATTAATACGTTACTAATGCCATAAAAAATTCAAGTTAAAATCAGGGATCCAAATTGTAGTTGCCATCCGATTTTGAACTTGGGCTCTGAATTAAGCACGTCGTACTTAGTACTGATTTCGAAGTAGAAATCAGGGAGAGCCACGCACTACTTCTCCCCGCCCTGGTTGGGGGAGCCGGGTGGTATGAGATACACGGTAGCGTGCGGTACCGGAGGGCCCGTGCAGTGCGAAGGGGAGGATTCCATCCGATGGAACTTTCGGACTTGTATTACCAATGAATTGGGGGGCCCTAATGATTGTGAAAAATTTTCAACTCGGCGGCGCGATCAAAAACGATGTATGATAGTCTAAACAAGGCGGCTGATTGGCTCAGGATGATTTCATACACGCCAACGGTAGGTGGATACTTCTGGGTGGCCACAAATTTAGACTAACTTATCCCCCCAGAACTTCTTTTTCTCTTTGCACAGGCCATCTAGTCTACTCGTACGGTACTCTACTCTACTCTAGACTACGAGTACGGTAGTCTGCCGGTACTGTACTGTATCGTACTTGTGGTTCATATGATAGACTAACCCAAGACGACATTCGAGTCCAAGCTCACCACACAGCCAGATGGTGTTGGTGGGGCAAAAGGGTTCTTTCCTATCAAAGAATTCCGAGGCCATCCTGCCTACGAGACATGA